TTTGAGAATTTGGTGTTCATGTTCAAGTGTTTCCATCCATCAGCTATGTGGTTCACTAGTTTCTAGGTTCTTTGGATCCTGCATCCGATCCACAAATATATATGTATATATATTATCTAGATATTGTTATTCACTTATGCATTAAATTTAAGCAAATGTTGGCGGTGTTTTTTCTGTTATTTGTGCTTAGCTTCATCAACTTTTTTTTAGTTTTCGATTCCAGGTTTTAAGCGTATTTTAGGCACTCTTCAAATGCGGAAGGCAAAAGGGAAGCCAAAATTAAAGTCATCTATCAGTGTGTTAGTGTCGGTGTGTGTTAGTATGTGAATTTCCATTACAGAGGGCTTGATGAACTGTGGCCGGGGTGTCCCAACAATTTGCTTTTAAAAATTCTTTCGATTACTTCATCCACAATCAAAATTCACAATAAAAATTGCAAATAAATAAATAAAATGAAATAATAACAAGCCAGTCATAAAAAATTAAAAAATTTTGCTATTTGAAAGAATTTTGAAGCATTCTGTAAAAAGGGAAATGACTTACATAGGGTGTAGGACTTACATACAAGTAACGGGTGATTGATGATGTAACGTTGAGACAAATTTTTCAAAACTCATTTTGTGATTCCAATTGCTGTCAAGGAGAATCTGCGTTTGTTTGCTGACAGTTTGAGTGATTGATGTGGATGGCTGATTGAAAAACTGAAGGCTTTGCTGAGTAATGATTGAACTGATAAGTTGCTCGATTGATGGCTGTTTGATTGGATGATTATTTGCTTCTTATCTTTTCAATTGATGAATGGCGACAAAGAGAATTTTAGCTTAATTATGGCTGCTCTTTAGATCGTGCACCTAATTTGACTGCTCGATTGATGATAGGATTGAATGATTGAGTAGTAATTGAACTGTATTCAACTGCTCTCAAATAGGATTTAGAATTGAATGATGTATTGAAGTTGATCGACTGATTGACTGCATGACTTTTGACTTCATTTCTCCGATTGCCATCAAAAAGGATCTCGCTAAATTACTTTGTTGTTGGCTCTTTCATAATTTGTGTTGCTTTTGTTTTATTCGTAGTACATTTCTGTTGTTAATGCTGCTTCTACTGCTGTTATTGTTGTTGTTGTTGTTCATGATGTTTGTGGCTTGTCTTTGTTATATTAATTAGGCTTTGTGTGTTTGCTGATGGGAGTTACATTTTGTTATATTCTGGATGGTATGCGCACTCTATGCTATACTCTATAAGCAGTTTAAATTCCAAGACTGCAATTAAACAGAGAGAGAAAGAAAACAAAAAGCGTGTGGGAGAGAGTGAGAGAGAGAGAGAGAAAAAGAGAGAGAGAAAAAAAGAGGTTGACATCAATTATTTGCTAGCCAAAGAATAAATTGGATGTAATAAAATAATCCTTATATATATGTATATACTTGTATAAGTTAAATATCTTTGCTCTATATAAAGGCATGGTCATATTAGAATAGATATATATACGAATTATACGCACATAAATGCATTGCCTTAGCGGTTGGTCTTTGTAAATATCATATATATATACATATTCAAGATCTGAATAACATCTATGTGTATGTGTGTGTGATTTAGTGTGTGTATCTGTTTCTGTATTGAATTGCAATTTACTGAATTTTATCATATGCCATTGATAAGTTGGTTCTAATTGATCAACCAATTCAATCTGCTGAATCAGTTCTCTGTAGCTAGTACCACTTGATTAACAACGTATGTACATTTGATGAACAAATTGTATTCAATATTCTGAGAAACTTCAATTGCACTGAAGTTGTTTAGTTGTCAGTTGTAAGAAGTGTCTGTATGAAGTCACTCAATCGTTCATCAATCGAAAGCTGATGTATAGTTTATCATTCTTGTTCTTGGACGAATGAGCTCTTAGTTCACAGATTACTAAATAGTTCAGCGCATATTCTTCCTTAGCAGTTCAATCGAACACATTGTGAATTTGAATACTTCAATACAAAGTAATGTATAAAGAAGGCAAAGCTGAATTTACTGACATACACACACACATACACGACATTTGCATACATCAACCCACAGCAAGCAGGGTTAGTTTTGGTATGAGAACTACAAGACGGAATCGGTGGGGCTGCTGTTGATGTATGCCAAACCAATCACCTAATCAGCTATTTAGCTAATCAGTTGCTCAGTTGCTTTTGATTCATATCAATCTTTTCGCCATTCAAATATCTACGGGTAATCCATTGCGAGTAGATAGTAGGCATTATCAGCTAATCAGCTGTTAAACGGTTAATTAAGCAATGTCACTGCTAATGGCCTGATTGATCTACTCAGATATAGTAGCATAAATATGCAACTATAGTTTATCTCCCTATATGTCGGTACCCCTGGCTTTTTTTTTTTTGCATTTGCATTTGCTTACATTCGCGAACCCTTCTGCTGCAGAACCTTGGCGCGATCATTCAACTCCAATTCCCGTCCTGCCGACGAGCCGCATTCTTTGGAGACGACGCAAAGGAACTCATTATTTTCGAATGGCCCATAGTTCGAGCATTGTATGCCAACGCTTATCAGCTGCTCAAACCGCCAGCCATCCGAAAGCGTGGAGATCATCTAGAACAGAACCAAAGAAACAGAGAGAGACTTAATACACCCGTCCAACGGCCGAGAGACAAGGATATTACCTGTGTTAATTCCTGTTCGCGGCATTGCAGCACACGATAGACGCGCTTCTTATCCGCATGTGGTCGCTGCGATTGAAGAAACGCAAAATTATTAACGTGAATTTGAATTCAAGTGGGAGATGGATAGACAGACAGGCACTCACCTGATCTCTGTGGCTGATGCACTCCTTTAGCAGTGCAATCAGCTGCGTCACGTTGTAGAACTCAGCCTCTTCCAGCACACCCTCCTCCGAGACGCCGTCCAGAACGAGTTTGCCATGGCGTAAATAATTGAGCACTGGCGCAAAATACTTTGGATCTCTGTCTATCAAATACGCGCCGGTTTCATCCTACAAAGAAAAATTCGAAATCAATTAGTGAAATATATTCTAAATTAATCTCTACACATACATATATGTAAGCCCAGAAATTGGAAATCCCAATTGCAAATCAGACACAGGCAATGCAGCAGGTATAACGACTTTGTATACTCTGTATGTGCAATAAACCCAAGCGGGTATATTGGCCGTAATAGACTAACATAGAAGGGAATCTGCTAGTCAAGCAGACTTTGGCCACATTAGTTGTTTTGTACTTGATCTGCCATGAAATATTCAGACAACTCATATAGCAATACGTTCACATACAGTAATGGCCTTTCGCTATGCATTGTAGTCATTTATTATGGTAAATGATTTACACAAGAGCTGCCAGACAGACAGACAGACAGACAATGAGACAGTCTGCCTGTATGTGAGCTATGTGGTTTCTGATTTTGTATACCCACTACATGTCTGTGTGCATATGGGGTATACTATACGCCACAATAAGTATCTTTATATTGATAAGTATCGATATAAATCATATTCGTCTCATACTGATGTCTAAATTCTAGATGTGTTACAGACATCGAATTGAGTAAAAACATTTGGCAAAGGGCACCATTTACTACAGGGCATCTGCTAGCCGCTCAGCTAGACTTGTTTACCTGTTTCTACATCAATTTAAGCAGCCACAATCAAACGAGTCAGAGAGCCCAAAACACAGTCATCACACCGTTCATCTAGGTGCCAGCCCGACTGCCCGATTTGCCCGATTCAGCCGATATAGACATACATATACATATATGTATATATTTATGTAAGTACATGTGTATGGCGTGTGGGTGCCTTAATTGGCGGACACTGAGCTTCGGGCTGCCTTGGCATGAGTTTTGGGGTGGGGGCGGAAGCGAAGGCGGCAGATAGGGGCAAGAATTTAATCAATAACAAAAGCGAGCGAATAAAAACAATCAAACAAAAATAAACAAACGAGCAAACTTTTTTATTGAAAACTATAAGCAAAAGCAGCGACAGAGACTGCGACGTAGGCAGAGACAGAGGCAGAGGCAGAGGCAGAAATAAAGACAGACGCAGAAGCAGCAGCACAACAAGGATACAAACATAGGCAAACGTTGAGGCAGATTTAGAAGTAGGAAGAAAGCCAAAGGCAAAGGGAAAAGCAAAGCCAATGCAAAGGCAAAGGTAAAAACAGGAGCAGAGGATGACATAAAAATAAATTCAAAGGTAGAGACAGATTTTGAGATTTAAACAGAGCCATAAGCAGAGGTACGAACAGCACTGTAAATGTTAGGCACAAGGGCAGCGACGCAAGCAGCGACGCAGCAGCGGCAGTGAAAACATTTGGGCATTAATAATAAGTAAACGGTTCGAATCACTTTTGTTTATGAAATTGGGAAAATCGTAAATATCATTCATGCATACATACATACATATGTACGTACTATGTTAGAGTTATTTATATAGGTATGTATGTATATACATTGCACCTATTCACATTCAAACTCATGCATACATATCGATATTTATGATATGTAACTAAACACGTGTCTAAATTTATGTGGGCGATATTTGTAGAGCAAATCGCTAAATACGCACTCGCCACGCCCCCCACCAAGCCAAGGACTCGGACAACAACAGCAACAAATAGAAATAAAGCAGAAAAGACAACAAAAAAAACTGGTTTCGACTACAACAGCAACATGCACACACACATGCATACATACATATGTAGCTAAGGCGTTTTTGCATGAGTGTTTGTGTGCTTGTGTGTGACAGAAAGCTCAGCCAATGCAAGTGCAGCCTTGTAAAACACGAATGCAAACACGAATGTGAAATCTAGAACTAGAGATAGCACATCGGGTTCGGGTAGGACATAGTACATTTATTAAACGAATTTACTATTTGTTTCAATCGTATAGTTACATGTATGAATTATCGTATCTATTTAAACACAGGACACGTGCATACTTAAATCAATATGCTTATGTTTACGTTTAACGTAACGTTTATAACGACCATTTTCGTATTATTATTATATTTGCGATTCAAATCGGCAAAGAAAATAAATAATAAATTTGTTTTGCTTATTTGCAAGGCAAATAAAAATTCGTATCTTATCTTTACTGATTCAGCACTAATCCTCTAATGCAAATTTTTATTTGATTACGCATTTTTGCAACTATTGAACTATTCGTGTCACGACACGATCCCAGCTCAACTGTGCAGCCCACTAAAAACGGACGACGCCGACTGCGGTTCGGCATGGCCCTGGCTGCTGCTTTAGCTGCCGCCACTGCTACTGTTGCTATTGTTGTTGTTCTTGTGGAACTGTAATTGTTTGCAGAATAAACTGCATGTTGAGCCTGCTGTTGGTGTGCGTGGGTGTCGGTGTGAGTGTACGTTTGTATATATGTACGTATGTGAGTACGCATACAAACGTGTGTTTGGCTTACAATTTTTGGACAATTATAATATAGCTGGCAGCTATGAGCGCAATGGCCGCTATAAATGCAATGCACACACACACGCATATATCGACGTATGGTTAATGTAAATATAACGAAAGTTCGATAACACAGCCTTGACCACTTTCTCAAAATTCTTTGCGAAAAATACAAAAATAATAGAAAATAATAATTAAATATGGGCAACAATAAAATATGGCATAAAATAATATAATCAAATAAAAATAAATACAGTGCAGTTCAATAAAAATGGGCATACAGTACAGAGCTTTAACTTCATTCATGCTTTTCTGTATGCCCGTGCATTTGTGTGTGCGTGTGTCAGTGTGTGCAAGTGTGTGTGTGTGTGTGCGAACTCACCCGATCTGATATTAAATCGCAGTCCTCTTGTATAAGACGCGACAGAAAGGAATTGGGGTCACGGGAGAGCGTTGTTTTGGTGGTTAGAAAATAGGTGCCTCCCACATTTAGTTTGACCCATTGGTCTGTGCCTTGTTTCTTTAGCACATTTGGGCTCTTCCGTGAGTTAATAAACACTGTGCTCATGTTGTTGACGTTGTTGTTGGCGTAACTGTTGATGTTGGTGCGTCCGCAGCTGTTGTTGCTGTTGTTGGTATTGCGCTGCTTTAGCGAAGATGAGTATGAAATGCGCTCCCGTTATTTATCGCTGTTATGTTGAGTCGGGTGTCACAGTTATTGCTATTGCATTGCAGCCCAGCAATATCCAGTTAGCACACAAACAACAAATACGTACATATGCATCCACACACATACATCTATGCATATATCCACATACACACGTGGTTGCGCTCCTTCCGTTAACCGTCAGTTCAGACCAGAGCAATTATTATTGTCGTTGTCGTCGTCGTCGACGTTGTCGTCGCCGCCTCCGTTGTCCAAATTGTCACCTTATTTGAAGTTTCTGTCTTTCCCCTGCGTTACGCAGCGTTGCCTTGAAATTATCTTTTTGTTTCTCTATCTCTCTCCCTTTTCAGCACAAGCTCTTTCTTACTGTGTGTGCTTGCTTGCTTGCGCGCGTATGTGTGAGTGTAAATGTGTGTGTGTGGCCTGTCCAGTCTCAACTCATGCTTTTGGCCAGCGTCTTTGTTTGACTGTTGAATTTTGTCGTCTTATTTTTGCTACACTATTCTACAGTTTTCTGCTACGCGCCGCGTTTTCGTCTATATAGCCACGTTTTGGTTTGTGAAACTCATTTATGTCACCGTTCCATTTGCTTTGGATGATGGCAAATTACTTTTCAATGAGCATTAAAAAACAAAACACTGCGAACTACCGATTGATTGTGGCGGCTATGACGATAACCTATCGATATATACATATTCTTATATATACTGTGCAACTGTGCGATAAGTGTTCAGCAACGGATTTCATGCCGCTCACTTGTAAGTCGGAGATACAAAAGCTGAATGCTGCGGAACCAGTACAGGAATTAAATGAGTAGAAATGCACCTATTTTCCTATGATAAAATATATTTACCAACAAAAAGAAAATAAATGAATATGTAATAAAAAACATGAATGCATACATATATTTGGAAACTTTTGTTTATTTATTTTTATATCGATAGAATTACGTACACCTAAAGTGACAGAAAGCTGTATGCTACAAAACAAACCACTATTTTGAAAGTCCCTTAAAATAAGGCGCCATTTAACGATACAAGTTTATATAAGCTTTTAAACAGATTTGTTAAGCGATTTACGCAGCCGCGTTTAGTTTAGCAACAACTACTGACCGCTGCAGACGTGCAATATGAAATTGGAGCTCGCGGTAATATATATATTGCTATTGGCATTCGCCGCTTCCTCGCCCATGCTATACAAACGCAATCCAGATGAGAAATACGAACCGGGTAAAAGTGGCTGAAGTTATTTAAGAATTTTTAACTTACCTTTGGTAATTACAACACAGATCTGGTTGCCATTTCCTCAACTGTCATACCGTTGACCGTGCTGGAAGTCAGCTATGGCCTGGGCGGCAAGCCGAGTGACGAATACAAGGCCGCCTACCTACGCAAGCTGCGTAAGCAGGTGCAGCAAAAGGCAGCGGCTCAAGCCAGTGGCAATTCGACAGCACTTCGCGCTCTGAGCAAAGTCTCCGAGCTGCCGCCTGCGCCCAGCGATGCAGATGCTCTGATTACACGTGAGTTGAAGGCAGATTTACTCCAAGCTGCCTAGGGCTGCCTCTTGAGCATCCACTAATCCCAATTCCCACTTGCAGTCAAATCCAAGCAACAGGAGAAGGCCAAAATCAAAGCTGTCTAGAAGGCAAAGCACAGCAGAACAGCCAGCCAGACCTTCAGCCAGGCAGCCAGCCAGTCAGCTCGACCAGTCATTGCTTTTGCGTTGGCGTTTGCTATGATATCATTGCCATAGTACATTTTTTTCTTCTTTTTTTTTAAACTAGTTAATAAATTTTGCGACTCGAAGTGGCTTTTGCCTAATTTGGACGCGATGATGCCGAACAAAATGTTGTTTACAGTCATCATTGTGGGCAATCTCCCCCAGCTCCATTCCCACAGCCATCGTGTTTCAACATCTCTCTCTCTCTCTCTCTTGCCAAACCGGAAGGAAATCGAAGTGAGCCAAAAAAAAATATTATGTAATGTGTAATGCAATTTGAAGGGAACTTCAAAACTTCAGCTGACTGCACGATACTCTGTACCAGATACAGGTACAGATACAGATACAGATACAGATACAGATACAGATACAGATACAGATACAGATACAGATACAGATACAGATACAGATACAGATACAGAAACAGATACAGATACAGATACAGATACAGATACAGATACAGATACAGATACAGATACAGATACATATACAGATACAGATACAGATACAGATACAGATACAGATACAGATACAGATACAGATACAGATACAGATACAGATACAGATACAGATACAGATACAGATACAGATACAGATACAGATACAGANTCGTGTTTCAACATCTCTCTCTCTCTCTCTCTTGCCAAACCGGAAGGAAATCGAAGTGAGCCAAAAAAAAATATTATGTAATGTGTAATGCAATTTGAAGGGAACTTCAAAACTTCAGCTGACTGCACGATACTCTGTACCAGATACAGGTACAGATACAGATACAGATACAGATACAGATACAGATACAGATACAGATACAGATACAGATACAGATACATATACAGATACAGATACAGATACAGATACAGATACAGATACAGATACAGATGCAGATACAGATACAGATACAGATACAGATACAGATACAGATACAGATACAGATACATATACAGATACAGATACAGATACAGATACAGATACAGATACAGATACAGATACAGATACAGATACAGATACAGATACAGATACAGATACAGATACAGATACAGATACAGATACAGATAGAAATAGAAATAGACAAAAATATAAATCGAGATAGAGAGCGTGAAATTTTAAGAACCATAAATACACCCGATTTCTCCATTCCCTGAAGAGTATGTTAGGCAATAATATTATGAGAGCAGGAACTCGTGTGATTCAATGTTAACTCGTTTTCGAAATTAGATTTCAATTCGGATATCCTGTGCCATGGCAGATAGATGGTGAGGTGATGGCTGGGGGTGGCCGGGGAGCTGGGTCACTGACAGAATTATGATTAAATCAGACGAGAAATGACGAGCAGGGATAAAAGGACAATAAACGAACGAGTAAATAACAAGCAAAAAGATGAAGCTGAAAAAATATAAATGACAGAGCCAAAGTGACAAAGATGTCCCGAACAAAAGCGAACAAACATTTAATATAGTCCCACTCCCTCTCTCGCTCTCACTCTCACGCTCCCTTTCTCTTTCTTCCTCGCTCTGTATTTCGGACAAATGGCATTTCATAAAAAATGAGGAGCAAAAGGTTTTTCGTTACGGCTAACAGCAAGATAAATTAACAGCTAGTTATCATTAGCACACGCTATTGCCTCCCCCTCCCCTCCTTGCCCACCCTCTCGGCCATTCTCTCAATAAGTTTGATAAATTGCATAACTGGGCTGCCCATTGAATTGAATGAAGTGAAAGACTTCCTAAGCTGTTTATTTTAATTGTTGAACCTGCTCAAGTGCAGCCAACTTAACAAGTGCCATAAATACGAGGTGAATGTGGTGTATTCGAGCTCGTTCACTGTGCACTGCGAGCGAATCAAGACAACTGAGCTTATGCCCAGCGTTATACAGCACTGGCTTGTTATTCCAACTTTCCCGAGTGCGAGCGCAGTCTACTTAAAGGAAGTGCAATGGAGTTTCCACTCAAGTGTTGCCAGATGTCAAATTGGACTCCTGCTCTCGAGCATAGCCGATTGCCCAATACTCGCCCATATTCAAGCACTAAGGCTTGTATATGTTTATGGTGTATATGTTTATGGTGTGTATGGTTTATCTATTGTATGATATATCTGGCTACATATGTATATTTCATGTTCTATCTTTCGTTCCTTCATTTTGCATCGTCCATCATTGATCTTCAACTCATCCATCATCATCCGTCCAGCACTCCATCTTCCACCCTGCATCCTTTCCTGCTCCCTTGCTCAACTAATATGCCTCTTTTGCGCCCCATGAACCAGTATGAAAAGTAGATGTAGCTAAATAAACACAAATTCAAATTGCAAATTGAAGATGCAAAGACGAGTAGCTCGACAAATCGAACAGCACAAATTGTGCTGTATGTGCGTGTGTGTGGCTGTGTGTAGGTATGGGTGTGTGTTCAGTTTAACTCCGCATCAAGCTAAACACTCAAAGTGAAAGTGGAGGCTGGCGCATATCGGCAAAGCCAAAAAGCCGACAACTGCGTGCTGAGCAAACATTAGTCAAGCAGAAGGACTTCGGCATGGACTTGCACAGGGACATTCGAACTGGGTAAGGTCTTTATATACACACACACACACACACACACGGTACCTGTCTGGTCGACGCTTTTAGCTGTCAGTTTGCCATTTGCCTTGCTGCTTGTTTATTTACTCGAATACCCTATAGCAGGGTATTATAGACTATTCAGGCACTATGTTGATATATTTTCTCTTACTGCCCCACTCCTTCTTCTCTTCCCTCCTCCTTCTCCTCTCTCTTATGTCAGCTCTTTTCTCCCATCTCTTTGCTCTCTTTTCATTCCTGCCTTTTCTTTCTTCCGCTCTACCCTCTGCTCTCAGAGCCCTCTGCCCCCTATACTTTCTTCTTTCCGTTTTCCGCTTTTCCATTTCTCGCCTCTTTCTTCTCTCTGGCTTCGTCTGCACTTTCTCTCATCTTTCTTCTCCTTCGTACTTTCATTCTACAATCCCCATCTCTTACTCTTCTCTTCCCCTCCATTCTCGAATCTTCCCCTTCTCCTGCTTACCATATGAAGGGTATTCGCACGTTCACCATTTCCGTTCATTTCATATCTCAGTTTTTCATTGTTGTCGTGTGCTGTGTTGTTTGAGTTGTTAGCGAGCTTAGCATTCCACACAACCACATTCTCGTCTCCTCCCCCCTCGCCCACTCTCCTCCTCACTATCTTCCTCCACGTCGCCCGCTCTCTTTGTCCATGCCGTTTCTTATTGAAATCGGTGTCCTGTCAATGTAGTTGTCACACGCAAGCTGCTTGCCTGCCTGCCTGATGCTTTGTTGTCGATTCCCGCAAGTGCCAGCCTGTGAAGTCAAGCAAACTCACGCAAACACACACACGCACGCACACACACACACACACTCACACACAGATGACATATGCTTTGCGCGCCTAAGGGTATGCAGCATTTCATGTTCTGCGGGAAAGTCGAAACAATTGATGCTGGGTGAAAAACTGAAACTGGAACTGCGAAAAGTGTTTGAATTTAATGAACTAGTTCACTATCTCAACTTAGTCAGCCATTCATGAAGCAACAGCTGAATAGCTCAAAGACACGCATACCATGCGAAAATCTGTGTGAGCCAAGGAAATCACTGAACTGAACCAGCTCAGTTGTTCATTTCACTGACTAGTTCAATTGAATAATCTCTGAACCATGTCGAAAGGAAAGGAACTAGTTCTTTGTTATAATAACTTGTGCATATATGTAACTCAACCAAACTAAGTTAATGAACCAAATGGTTATGAAGTTCGCAAAGCTCCGCTCTTGAGCTGGCATTGATCTACCTCATTTGTTCATTTGTTCATTTCACTGCCTAGTTCAATTGAACAAGTTGCACAGTGATTCGTGATTCAATACATCTGACAACACTCACATCCATCATCTCCTGCCCCTATATCGCTTCCACTTCGAATGTGA